GAGTCTTGTGGTATATTCGGTATTCTGTGAGTATGTGTAATGACTTGGATACAGCAGGCTGTGCATATTGGAGGCTTTTCCTTGGCCATTAGTATTTATTTAACCAGTATTTAAAATAACTTTATCGTTTCTTGAAAAGTTTTGAAAAATGGAGTTGTCTCATTCTTGGACGGAGCCCTTTAGTTGGCCTACAAGTATTCGGGGCAGTCCCCGTTGTCGGATTTTTTTTGTTCGCTTTCGCCGGTTTGCGCTTTACGGGTTTTCGGAAAAATACGAGCGTGCCCGGATAAGGTATTTCCGTTCCACCCGATTTCACGAGAACAATACGCAACATCGTGACGGGTACATGTGGTGCATCGGTTATCATATTGCCGATACTATACGACACGATATCGCAACGAAACAATCGCTAACCTAATGCGGCGACCGAGGGCAAACGGCTGCGGGTTTGTACGTTCACTCGTGACGTATTTTTATTTTATTTTTTTGTGTTTTTCGAATCCAATATTGTTTAGTCGTTTAGGCGCTCGAGAAAGCCTACAGTTGTGTTTCCGACGTCAAAGTTTATCGGCGCGCACAGCGCTCAACGTGGTACCGATCGATATTATTTCCATTTGTCGTGTAGATCGTTGTGTGCCCGTATATGATCGTCACCGCTCTGTATATTGCGTGCTCATACATAAATCATTTGAAGAAACGCACACGTGTCGAAAAGCGTGTTTCACGAAAACCGGATACGTGAAAAAACAGCACGACACCAGAGGCGGCGCGCGGAATCAGTGGCAGTATTTTATCCTATAATTTTGTCTTAAAATCATCATTTGAAACAAAAGACAAAAACAATTTATGTACATATACATATAATATATTTTTTTAAACAGTACCATCGAAAGATTGAACTCATAGTACTACGTCATAAATCAGTATGTTTGTACGTAAGTATTTATTTAATTATTTAAGTTTAAATAAAATGAATTAAGGTTTTTCAAAAAGTAATGATGCGTTTTTATGAGAAACTCCATTAATCCGTCGTCTTCGTTAATCCGACAGTCCTCTGGTCTGATATCGGTGGGATTATCGAGAGTCCCTACTGCAATATAAAACCGTACCCGATACGATCCTTGCTTGGTCCTCTTCTCCCGTCCGACAACGGAAATAACGTATCTGCCTGAATGAAATAATAACAATAATAATGTTTACTAACATGTCGATGTACGAGTAGGCGGATTATTAAACGAACGTTGCGAATAAATTTGCCCACGCGCGTGTAACATAAAATAATATACCTAATATAAGTGATTAGATGCGGTCCGTTGGACGCGCGTTATATTATTGTCGTGGGACGCGCACAATTTCCTTACAAGAACATTGCCTATGATCATTTTTAGATTTTTAGAGCCGACGTGTATGTGGATCGATTCGGTAAAAGTCCACGGGGAGACTGTTCATATAATACAATACCGTTGGGACAGGGTTACAACACGATTGAGCATAAAAAACCTTTTTTTACAACACTATAAAGCAAATTTGTTGGCGTATCATAGAAATATAAAAGAAAACCTACACAGTTGAGCGCAAGAAACTCTGCGAGGTTGTCATTTTCAGTTTTGAACTAAGTCGTGCAAAAAATATTTATTTAAATAATAATTATAATAATAATTTTGGTATCTGTTTCCAAGTTGGTTTATTAAATATAATTGTAGATATTCTGTATTCTTAGGATTTGAATATTAGTTGAAAGCTTTTATATTAAATTATAGATTTGTAACTTCATTAACGGTTTGTGCTCGTGCGAATTTAAGTAGAATTTAATTGATTCTACTCAATGTTTTTGCTTGCGTTTCGAGCAATAACCTAATGGCTGCATAAGCATGGTGTGAATAAATGCGCGAATTGTACGTACGATGATAGCTTTTGGCTGCATTGGTTGTTCTACAAAATTTAATAAAACAACAGAAATTAAAATCAAAGTTAATTTTTAAAAAAAGCCGGTAAGATAACGGTGGCGGAAGTTCGTCTATCGTTATGGATAATGGGTTTTTGAATTTTGAACAAATGATAACTCATTTCTTTAGTAAAACAATTCTGAGCAAATCTTCAGTATAAAAATATACCGTTTATATATTTTACTATTTTTAATCTAATCGTAAGTTCTTTTTTTTTATCAACTTATTTAAAATTTTCTTGTTTGACGAAGGAGAAATTTTTCAACCAAATATTCAAAACAATGTTGTTTTATTTGTATCCAAAGTTTCATTCTTTTGATAAAGATTTAAAGTTGAAAAAGTATGTAAAAATATTCGAGTTCGTAGTAATTAAATACAAATTTAATTACAGCTTATAAAAAGTATATTTAATAATATGACTTATAATTATTTAATTTTTTTAATACCATAAGGTTAGTACATAAGTGAAATGATATTACATTTTTAAGTCTTAATATCCAAGAATAAAATTGTTATTACATAAAAACTTTAAAAAAATGAAATATTTTCAAAGTTCTATTTTTAAACCAAAAGCGCTTAACTTTTTTTGAAAATGTTGTCAAATATGAAAAAAATGTCTTTGATAGAATGTGAAAGTTTCAAGTTACTAGTCACATTACATTTGGAGGTTTAACTAAGTAATTAAAATCTGAAAAATGAAACTCTCGCTTACAATGCATTTTTACCATATTTACTTGGTTTTTTGGCAGGCTTTTTCTCACGCCTAGAAAAGCTAATGAGGTTTTGGAAAAATGACCTCTTTCAAGTACCACCAATTTTGAATATAAAAAGTTGTTAGATGAAACTTTTGGACCAGTATTTCTATCCGAAAAAAAAATGTTTATAGAAAACAATTTAAAAAAAGGACATATCATTGAAAAATCATTAGATCCTTTGCTTCACTCAGATCTGAAATATAGCAAAACCTTGGGCTTAATGAACAAATTTCAGCCTAAATATACAGTGGTAGTAGGCAGTGATTTTCCGCACAGTAGTGCAAAGTGCAGTCAGAAAATATATAACCGTCGTGGCAACGTCACTTAAAATATTCTACGCTCAATCGTATTGCTATACTCAATACCTCAATATATTGAGGTATACCTCAGTATACCTCAATGAAATTACACTCAATTGTTCTTTACTGAGGGACAGAAAGATGAGTGACGACGAAACGAGGCTGTAATGTACGACGTTCGATGGTGCGATCGACTCGATCCAATCTTGTAGCGTAATAATGTTATTTTTACGTGACCCGCGTTAAATCATTTTATTATAATACCGAATTGATTCCACCTTTTGTTTCGATCGCGTCGCGTTCGCAACGACGAGTTTCACAGACTTCAAAACGAGTCCGGTCGTAGTCGGTTAGGTTAGCATTGTTCCGCGGATTCACGCATATTTTAACATTTTCATAGGCATGATGTAATATTTCAACGCAAGTTTCATCAACTATTCTACAGTAACTGTATTGTTTAATGATTTCGCACGTTTTATAACCGTTCGACTAACACGTTTTACACACATCGATCTATATCTTCATCGGAACGCGTAACATGGTGCGATTAGAAGAAACACTACCTGTAGATCGTCAACGATTTCCGAAATAAAAACGTCTGCGGACGATGTGCACCAACACATTTTCCGATTATTGTTTTATTTTTTTATTTTTTTCATTCTTCGAATACCTCGTGTAAAAGTGCACCGCCGACATCCCTGTACACGGGGATGGCGGTGGTGTTAGAGGTGTAGGCACGAAATTAACTACCATCACATCCCTTCCGCCCACGCGTAATCGTTATCTCTCGCTCTGCGATCCTCCGCCTTGCGCTCGACACTCTCGTCATCTCCGTCCGACCCAACTGACCGGGATCGGATATCCGAATTCCGCGTTAAACATCCCTTTTTGCCCACTTTTTTGGGGTGTGAATTAGCGGCGACCGGATTTTCGGGAAAATATACATTATTCCGCCCCGGTCGTTTAATCCGTCGGTTTTTCTTTCTTCACGTTGCATGCGCTGTCACGGTCATCGTCGTTTTGTTTTCCGTTCCATTTGCTTCCTGTCGCGAGTTTTTCCTCGGCAACGTCCCAGCAGCCGTACAAGCAGTGCCGTAACTAAAATGTTGAGGCCCAGATGCAAACTAATTTTAGAGGCCCCTATTCATCAGTGGTGTTTAAATGTTGTCATCGATGAGCTTAAATAAATGCCCCTCTCCCATTTATCTAAGCTCATCAATTCCTCTCAGTCCCGGTTAAAGACTGTATTTCAATTTTAGGTATCCGCTAAAAGTCTGTTTCTTTTAAAAAATATATGTTTACAATATTTAAATTTTAAAATGTTTATACTCCTCCACTCCTTTTTATCAAAAACTTTTGAAACCAATCGAACAACTTAATTTGAAGCGATGATAGGTCGTATTTTTTTACGCACTAACTACTGTTTATAAATGTATGATTTATAATGCATTATTAATCATCATAAAAAATTATTGAACAATAACTCGACGTTTCGTTGAACAATATTTGCTAATCGAATGATAGTAATAAAAATTGACAAAATCGTATATTAAAATCAACAGTAAATGTTTAGCCAAACGCAATATGCAAAAAACAAATAATAATATATTGTTTAAGTATATTTTTTCACATAAAAACCAATTTGGAATTCATAAATTCGTATATTATTTTAGCATTTGAAGTTTTTAAAAAGTTTTTATTATTATTTTTTATTATTTTACCAATAATATCATACAAACGGTATTGAAGATTGTGAAATAAATTTCCGCCGCGGCAGGAAAATCTAATACAATATCAAGCTATATGGAAAGTTCAAGGAAAATTTAGTTCGAAACGAAGAAAGTCGAGCTTGAAAAGAAAAATTTGAAAGCAAACATAAAAGTTATAGAAATACTGTCGCGTGGGTGTTCCCAACGCCCAACGGGTTGTTTCCGCGAGCGCAGTCGAAATCATCGTGGAACCGGTACGGAGCGTAACGCACGTCACGTCCATTGAACTAAATGATAACTGGGACGCTTACTGCCCATAAGATCAATGTAAATAAAACCGAGCGACTGTTTTAGACAGAGATAACAAACAAATTATGTGTTGTTTTCTCTGTTTTTAACGATATTATATTTGGTTTCTCATTAAATCATTTATTCTATCTATTCTTATTTATTATTTTCAGCAGTCATATATTTTTTATAAGTTTTTATTTTAAATTTATTACTTATGTGGTATTATTATTATTTTTATTTTCATTTAATAGTATTTACTCTAGGTTTTAAGAGTTAATCTACTATTATGGTAAACTACTGTAGCGGATTTAACTGTACAAATTCAAGTGACACTCATAAAGATTTAATATTTTATAAGTTAGTATTTAAATGATTTGATAATGTTATACTTACTAATGCGTTTTTTCATTAATTTTACTTAAGACTTGGATTCATAGTATGTGTAACTTAACTACCTATATTTTTATTGTCTAAGGCTTCCTCTTAATGACTAAGAAAGTATTAAAAAATGAGTTCATGCGATAAAGCGTAAATATTTTAACTCATCTTCAAATTCATTTTTATATAGCTCATATTTTATTGAAAGTGACTAAAATAAAGCAGCTGTTAGTGGAAAATTAGTGTTAAAAAAAATGTGCGGTATTAACTATAATTAATTTTACAGATCACTTGATACCAAAAGTAAAATGTAGAAGAATTCTTCTAAGATCTGTTGATATTCAAGTAAGATTATTTTTGATTTTCTTGTACACCTTGAATTATGTATTTATTACAACAATTTAATATCACATTGCAGTTTAAACTGAGATTTCTATTATTTTTATTTCCATTTATTAATTTTTTATGAAACCTGGAAAGGTTGTTGGTTTGATACTTATTGAACTATAAACTAAATTGAAATTATGTTTTAGAATTTGAAACAAATAAATATTTTACATTTTAATTTACATTTAATATTTTAAATTACAATACTTTTAATTAACAATTTAATATATTCATTTTAATTAAAATAATTTAATTATAATATGGTATGTTGTAGTTTAATTATTATATTTTAGATTCAATAGTGATATTTTAGTATGTTTTTTCTATTCAGGATACATCTGAGGATTTGATCACATCTAGTATTAGTGATAGATCTCATTCCTTACATAAAAAATTTGTCGATGTCGGTGTGCAAACCAAATTGAGTAACAATGATTTCAATAACGCTTTAAATAATTTACGTCGAGATAAAAAAATTCTCCAACAAAAACTCAACAGAAAAGATAAAAGAGTAAGTAATATACAGGATATATTACGCTTATTAAAAGACAACAATTTAATTAAAAAGATAGTAGAGAGTATTTTAAAAAACCAATTTCAGTCTTCACTCCCTTTCACTTTGTTCTCAAATGAAACTTCTAATTCTCAAAATCTAGAAACTTGTAGATCATACTCTGAAGAAATTCGTAAATTTCGTTTAACTTTACATTTTTATTCCCTTTGCGCCTATGACTTCATAAGACAAAGAAGTACACTTCCTGATCCATCAACAATTCGCAGATTCTTGGCAAGTAGAAACTGTAACTCTGGTATTTTATATGAAGTCATAGAATATTTCAAACTAAAATAAAAACTGAAACAGCTAAATTTTCATATGTAAAAGATGTTGCTTTACTTTATAATGCTATGTTAGAGATGGTTTTTGGCCCGATTAGAGTGGCAAGTTTATGAGTACAGTGATCTTGGTGGTATTGCACATGTTACTAATGAAGAATTAGCTACAGAATCATTAGTATTCATAATTAGTAGTTTGAGTGGAAAATTCAATTATCCAGTTGCATATTTCTTTATTAATAAAATGAATGCTACAGTACAGAGTCAATTGGTAATTTCTATTATTTTAATATTATATGAAGCAGGAATTATTGTTCAATCTTTAACTAGTGACGGAATTAGCACAAATTTGAAGGCATATGAATACTTATTTGTTGTTTAGATCCCACTAATTTAAAATATTAATTTTTTCATCCATAAGTATCTCATGTAAATATCCACTGTATTTTAGATCGATGCCATCTTACTAAAATGTGTCGTAATTATATGACTGAGTTAAGTTTATTTCATATAGAAGGTATAATTTCATTTGAGTATATAAAAAAGCTTCATGAAATACAGCAGAAATAAAATTTGAAATTTGCTAGTAAATTAAGTTCGTTACACTTATATTATAAGCGTAAAAAAAAATGAATGTTCAATTAGTTGCTCAAGTTATAAGCAATAGTGTAGCAAATGCATTATAATTTTTGCAGTCCTATGACAAAGAATTTATAAATGTTACTTCTATTATTACATTAATTAGAAATTTCGATAGGCTTTTTGACGTGATAAATGCTAGAAATGTATTCGCTAAATGATTTAAATCTCCTATGACTTTAAATAATCAACAAGTTTGGGAAAAAGCCCTAGAGAATGCTAAAGATTATATTATGCTATTAGTGTGAAGAAAAAAGTATAGTAGAACATCGTAGAAAAACGTTTGCATTGGGTTTTCTTATTAATATTATGAGCTACAAAAACTTAGCACTTGATTTATTAAAAAAAAAAAAAAAAATTGAGCCTATAAAATATTTTTTGCCTTATAAAACATCCCAAGATCACATGTAAATTACATTTTCATGTATTGGATCAGCTGGAGGATGGAACAATAATCCTTCTGCTCTACAATTTAGATGGCGTATTTTGAAATTTCGCCCCGGTCACAAGACTCGATTACTACGGCCCTGACAGCAACGCCGCTAACCGATGGATCGAGAAAAAAATAAACCCACGCGAACAGACCAACTCGAACGTGGTCCTCGGCTCACGAATGTGTAACGGTAACGATTGCCCCGACTGACGTAGTCCACACACTGTAGTCACGGCGCGTTGCCTACGCGCGAGGAAATTTTAAATATTCCAATTCTCTCGCAAAAAGCCGAACGCTTTGTTTTGCTATGGGAGGAAAATGCATAACACCGCAGACAGCACGCGATGTGTCCTATCACGGACACATTTTCGAACAAAAAAATGAACAGCCGTAGCCAACGGCGTAATGAACTTTAAATTGAAGGGTGACGTTCCAAAACGTACTGTTCCCGAAAATTGAAATGTAGGTAAATGAAAAAAAAAATTGATACGTAAATATCAATGAATATTGAATTCCAAAATAAACGGTGTCATGTATAAAACATTTTTTTAAAATATTATATTTTTAAATATTAGCTACATCAGTATAATTATTTTTTTAATTTTCCACATATTTTTCTAATATTTTATAAACCGTTAATTCGTGCAAAACTTACTATCGCCAGCAATATAACGTTTCGAATAAGATAAGTTATTTTTTTTCAAAACGTGCTTTTATCACTTACAGTAAGGTATATGAACATAGGAATGATAATTTAGTTTTATTATTAAAATATCATATGTCTCTCCTCTAGTTAAAGTAATAATAATAATATTGATAAAATAAAATAAAACATATTTAATTTTATTAAAACTGACTTTTATTGTCTTTAATGAAATATCTGTATAAGTTTATCTATGTTTAATTCTTCAGCGATTTCGCTTTCAGTAGAAAGATTGACTTATCAGTCTTGAAATATATTTGATCGCAAATAATTGTTTAATATTTTAAGTTTTGTTAAACTCTTGTAGACGATTGCAGCAGATACTAGTTAAGTCAATATAATTATTAAAACCACATAAGTATTGGGGTATAGTTCTATCAACTTATTTCTATAAATTCACTCGAGAACTGATTTCGGATACCGATAGAAATAAAATAATGCACGAGTTAGTTTTGAAAATGTTGCCCCTACCATAGTGCCACTCCGGGCAGATGCCTAGCTCACCTATACCTTGAACCAGCCCTGATAATAAAAGAGCAATAGCATTTTTTGGTAATTCGTTCTTTAGTTACAAAAAGGAGATTGAAAATTCATTGAAAACCACCCGTCATCCACCTACTGACTAAATTTTCAAGCTTTATTCATGGTTCATGATAAGTGTTGTAATAAATATTATAAACTATAGCCGTACTATATCGCCGAATAATCTATTTGCATAGAATAATCTATTAAAAAATCAATTATTATACGTTACACGTACTTTTTTGTGCCGGAAAACAAGTTTAGGTAATTGTAGTTTTATATACTCATGATCGATTCATCGCAAAAAAATGTCAAAGAAAACATTTCCTTGATATCTCGAAAGTTTTCATTTTAGCCCGATTCGTACTCATAACGTCGTGCAGCCGTAGATTATAACAGTATACGAAATATGCGGTTTTTTTTCTTTTTACATCGTTAGTCTTACAATATTTTGTCATTTCATTAGTCATAATTAGTTCATTAGTTCTCTGTGGTATGTGCAAAATATAGCAGTACAATAATATAGCATAACGTATACGTCCGTGCAGTTGTATCGCAATACGAAAACGCATACACCTCAAACGATTTGTAGTTTTCGAAATATTTCGTACGTCATAAAAATCCGGCTGGCGCGCGATGTTTTCACGTGCGTACAACTTACAACACCGTTGATGACGATCTCGGGACGATTAAAACTCAAGCACGTTTCGAGTTCAACCGCGGTTTAATTCGTCGTAAGCCGCCAACCGATCGTGATTCACCAACATATTTTCATACGCGGTCATAAAGATGTGTTCGGATGTGTTTCTCTCGAAATCCAAGCTGTGTTGACGTGCGCAGAACGAACTTTTTTTTAAATCGGAATCGTTACCGCGAATGTTATCGTGTGATAACGTCAATGGTGACGGTAAGAAAAACCAATGCGGTGAGACAACTGGACGTGTGTACTGAATCCATTCTTGTTGTTTCGCGTATACGGCTAATATATTTTAATACTCGTCGAAACGCACTCGATTCCTCCGCGCGAAACACATCAGCGCTGGCGCGACGCGATTACAACATTAATAGCCCATTAATTATCAATCGCCCGCGTGTATTACGTATTCAATGTTCTGGTGCTTCTGTATTGGCTTAGGTCCGGAGAGCTTAATGTCTATTGAAACATGTATACATAATATATAACTTTCGTGTTTCGCACCGGAGACAATAGAACATCGTTCTGAATCGACGGACCGAGTAATACATGCAATATATGTGTACGCATTAATTATGAAAAAAAAAAAAAAAAAATCGATCAAAATTACCGTAGTACACTTAGAAAAATCCGAATCATAACTTGGGAATTCAAATGATAACCATATACGGGCGCGAACGATGTCGCGTATTTTTAAATTTTCCAAAAAATAAATGATTTAATAATATTATAAAAAATACACTTAAAGTACGAATTGTTAATCGTATTATTATTTTTATTATTATATATAATAAAAAAAGTAAACGTCGTTTTTGCCAGTCCATCAAAAATTTATTCAGTTGTTATCAAGTAATTTTTATTTATTGAGAACATCGCTAAACCGTAACTTTCTTTTTTTTTTTTATTTTGGGAGTCGAGACCCGAGAAACAGACCTCTCCCGAATAAAAAATAAAAAAAATAAAATAAAAAATACGCCATTAGATGTTAGATTGCAGTGAGCTGAAAATGCACGAAGCGCATAAACGAATTACGCATTCAAATTATACATAATATAATACATTTATAGAGTTAACCACTATGGAAATAATATAGAATGTATACACGATGTGTACACGAGTGTACGCAACGATACGGAGTGGACTTTCATAATGAGACGTACAAATTGAATCACAGTGCTGTAATAATGTGCACCGTTACGTTACGTATTAATATGTAAATCACGTTCTAGTGTTTTATCACCCTGGTTATAGTAAAATTCACTTTTATCGGTAATAATAAACGGAATTCATACATGTTGTATCGTAAAAAATTAACAACTAACGCGGCAATAAATGAACAACAGCGTATAGGTAATAAATAGATTGTGTAAACTTTGTGTTTGCCGTGAAAAAAAAGAAAACCGTCCGAATTTCATGACGTTTATGAAGCCGTCGTATTATTCGAACTACAGAACAATTATGTAGGATCTTTATAGTGTTTGAAGTATTACGCCGAATCTCAACAACGACTGTTTAGACCTATCCGAAGCGTATAACGTACAAGAACAAATAAAAAATGTGTGATAGTAACGTGTATATTTATCGGACAAGTGGCAATCGCAATAACAAATCTATAGTACAAACACACGATACAAAATGCAGCGCATAAAAGAATATTCTGTGCTCAGAATAATGCGATTGCCCATCTCACCGCCGAGGAGAACCTCATATCGGCAACGATGGAGATATAAACTAAATAATCGTTTGTAAAGAAAGCGATTTGTTGATTCGAGTTGCGGTAAAGAGTGTTTGGTTTTGTTGGTCAGGTGAACGAAATCATCGAGTGCCAGTTATGTTAACAATTATGATTGTAATGATTTTTAAAACGACTAATCGTGCGCGCCTTCGAAAAAAAGTCCACAGTTTTAAAACAGCACAGCGATTTTTTCTGTGTGTACCATTTTTTACTTCAGATTTTGTTTTATATTTTTTAACCGCAAACGAAAGGGAGGGAGGGCAATACAAATAATAACAACAATAATAATAATGATGACGACGTGACCGGAGGAGAGAAATGATATCGCGCTCCCGAGTCGACGGACGATGCGATATTATTTTGTAACGATTGTAATACGTTTATTAGGCGTTATTCGAAACGGATAACGCGATAACGCGGGCGACGAAAAGAACACGAATAAATAATAATAAACGACGACCATTGTCCGGAGGAGTGGTGAAAAAACAACACCGGCGACGGTATTACGGTCGTTTTCTTTCTTTCTCTCTTTCTCTCTCTCTCTCGCAAACACATAAAAACGATTCTATTTAATATTATAAACAGTGGCGACGGTCCCGGATAATACGACCGTGACGACGGAGGCGCCTCGGTCACGGATGAGAAGATCGTATCTG